TCGATACTAGTAATAACATTAGCAAAAGCAGTGTAGAAAGTACTCCATTTATTACCGATATTTCGACTATGTATCCTGTTACAAGTAAAGAGATATCTCAAACTGAAATGATCTCGTTAGAATCTCGAACATTTCCTAATGTTTCAAATGAAATTCATTCGACTTCAACATCAAAAATTGAAACAGAATATTCGACACACAAATTAATTCATAATGAAACAAATACAACTGAAATTATTTATCAAGAGAATGATGGTAGAACGTTTAAGTTTATCAATGATACATCATTTTCTGAAGAAGGAAATACGATCGGATATATTTCAAATACAAGGTAACAGTGATGTATATTTTATTAATAATTATCTAAATATAATGAAGAAAAATAAAAATTCCATTATACTTTATTATTAATAGATATTATACAGCTGTAACTAAAGCTGTTAAAAAGACGACAGAAGAATCTACAATGATAGAAACTAAAACTAATAGTACTTCATTTTCCACTAGTACATCTTTTTTAAATTTTACGGAATTTTGGAAAAATAAAAGCTCGGATTCAAATATGTCACTAATAGAAGTGCCAAAAACTACATCTTATTCATTAATAGATAAATGGTCATCTAAAGAACTATCAAAATCTTCAAGTACAGAAAGTTCTACATTTAGTAGTTCTACTTTTACTAATAATATTTCTTCAGTTGCAACAATTAATAGTTCTATAAAACCAACATTTGAAATCTATCAAATGAATACTACCAATAAAGAAGATGAACAATTTTTAACAAAAGATAAATCAGTAACAATTTCAGAAAATTCTATCATTCCTAAATGTTATGGAATATTGTGTCCAAATTCCACAGTATCACCTATACGCAACGATAATAATGCAAGTATTATAAATTTTTTTATTATTATGATAATAAAAAACATTAATGTTTTTTAAATTATTTTTAGTGTAATTGTTCGTATCATAAAAATTGTAAAACTGATCCAAATATAATGCGCGCGGCATTTAATGGAAAATCTTACGCAAGACAATATGTAGATGTAGAAATTTCAAACGATAATAACGCAACGTTAAAAATTTTTGTAAGACTTAGAACGCATTTTAAAGATGGTATTATATTACATGTTTATTTCGACGATGAAAAATATGCTTTGGTATATTTAGAATATGGTTCTTTAAAGTTTCAATTCTCCTGTGGAGTTGAAACTATGTTACTTGGTGAAATAGACTCGCCTATTAATAATGGATACGAAGCAGACATAGATACAAGGTAAAATAATATAAATATGATAATATATTATTTATTTTATTTGTTTATTATATTCTCTTATTTTATATATATATATATTTAGATTTGAATATTTCATGAAAAATGAAACCAATAAATGTTCGGCTCGTTTATTAGTAAATGGAACAACAGCAGTTAGTGGAGAACAAATTTTACCATTACATGGAAATCTTCCACGACATGCTAATTTACATTTAGGTGGTATACCATTGGTATTTTCCCATTATTTTGCCCATGTCTCTATGGGATTTACAGGTTGCATGAATTCACTAAAGGTTTTTTTTTAATATATATATGTACAACAATGTATATTTTGGAAATATCCAAAAAATTTAAAGTTATATTTTACTTTATTAATGTAGGTGAATGATATATCACGTCATTTTATTCACGATTCAATTGAAACATTTCAAATTGAAGATTGTATATCATTTCTATGCTTGTCAAATCCATGTCAAAATTTTGGTGCATGTAACGAAATAAATAATACTGTGCATTGTAGATGTATAGCCGGGTAAAATATTTTTATAACTCAACTTTTCATTTTCAAAAATTCGATATTAATAGAATCACATCATAATAATAAAATAAAATATTACTTAATTAAATAGATACACCGGTCTTTTTTGTGAACGTTCAACATGTGATGAAAATCCTTGCGCTTTGGGTGCAACTTGTATCAATTCACCAGGTACAGGTTTTGTTTGCGTTTGTCCACTTGGAACTCATGGGCTTTTATGTGAAAAAGGTAATATATATTAAATATACATCATATATTTCACAAAAAAAATAATTATTTTTTATCCTAAACTTGTAGATACTGTTATAATGCGACCATCATTTTCGGTACTTGTACCTGGATTCTCATCATATATTGCTTATGGAATTTCAAATTCTATAAAAGATACAATGGAATTGAAACTAAAATTTATACCGCGTACTTATGAGCAAATATCTTTAATAGCTTATTTAGGACAAAGTGGATCTCATCAAGATTTATCAGATCATCTTTCCATAACATATGTTCGTGGTTATATTATGTTAACATGGGATTTAGGAGCAGGTAGTAATTTAATTTAATATTTTAAATATTTTAAAACTTTTTCAATGAAATTTTGTGAAAATATTTTCTAAAAATATTAGGTGTACGAAGAATATTTACAAATGTTTCTTTGATTACTACAACAACGGCAACAATGAATAAAAATATAGCATACACAATTCGAATTGGAAGAAGAGGTCGAGATGCATGGCTTGCAGTAGATGGCATAGGCAATGTAACTGGACGAGTGGCTGGATCTATGACTCGACTCGATGTATCACCAATACTTTATATTGGTTTGTATTTTTATAATTTAATATTATTTAAAAAAATTTATATTCGAAGAATAATTTAAAATATTATAAATAAAATATTATTTGTAATAGTTATTAAATCATTATTATATGAACAATTTATAGTAATATATTAAAATAAAATTTAAATTTTTTATTAAATTAGGTGGACACAAATCAAAAAACTTTGAATCTTTACCTCATGATTTACCACTTCATACTGGATTTTCTGGTTGTATATTTGACATTGAACTACGTACAAAAACTACTATTTATCCAATAACCAATTCAAGCCCTGCAACAGGTCGTGGTGTTGGTGAATGTCACAGAAATGAATGCATTCATCATTTATGTAAAAATGGTGCAATATGTTTAAATCATGGAGCAACATATAGGTGACTTATTTATACAATTTTAGTAATTTTAAAAATTAATACATTTAAATAATTACATAAAATATTAATTAATTAATTATTTCAGTTGTATTTGTACAAAAGATTGGATGGGATCTGACTGTTCCATACCAATAGAAACATTATCTTCTGTTAATCCAATTTCTTGCCATAGTTCAAAATAATAAAAATATTATGTTACTGTTTAATTTTATTTCAATACATTATATGAAATTAAATTTTATATTGAATTCAATTAATTTTTATTATTTTGTTTTGGTTGATATGATACAGAATAAGAATTCAAATGCACAAATAAAATAGCTGCAGCTAAACGAGCTTGTAAATCATACTTATTATGATCATGAAACCATTCTACAGATCCCCAATGAGAAATCTACAATCAAAAAGTAAAATAATAAAAAAAAAAATAGATTATAAGATATTATATTATATTATGTTATAAATTTTTGAATATAAAAATCGATACACATACTTGATAATTTTCTTCCAAACGTGATTGTTTTACAGCTTCTTTTATACTAATAACTCTTTCTGCTGCAGCTAGTGTAAGAATTACAGATTTGATTGCATCTACTCCATACATAAAACCTATGAATAAAACAATATAACAATATTCATAATATTTCTGTACATTATTAAATTAATATATAAATTATTTACCATAAACTGCACTGCAATTATAAGACATTAAATGTCTTGTCAATATTATTTTAGTTTCTGAAGATATAGTAGGGGCTACTATACTTTGAGTTTTTATCATGTTTACTCTATAATTATCACAAAACCATTGTACTAATGGATCCCAATTTTCAATTTGTAATTTATGTAATTCATCATTTTCCTAATAATATATTTATTATTTATTTAATAAATGTCTTAAATTGTATATATAAATAAAATACATAATATACTTACATTTGAATGAAATAATAATGTATCCATTTCTAAAGAACTTACAATATAATTTACCATATCTTCTTTTGTATGGTTGTGAGGATTATCTATCACAGTGTTACAAAGTGCTGTCTTTCAAATTGAATGTAGAAATATGTTAAATCATGTTTATTAAATTACATTTTATTTATATTTAATTTAAAAAGATAAGTTTACCAAATGCATATTGCTTTTATCAATAATTTGTTTCTGCATATCCCATTCAATTGCTATAGCTAAAGCTAGAGGTTTACTATCCACTTGAAATATTTTTCCTTGTGGTGTTTTGAGTTTTCTTTGATCAAGTGTAATTTCATACTTTCCACTGCTTGATAATATATTTGTTTTTCGATAAAATCTTTTAAGAGTAGCTAAAAAATGATTCATGTATTCTATAGAAATTAATTTTATTTTAAAAATATATTATTTTTTAATACTGAAATATAGAATTGTAGGTTAAAAATTATAAAAAAAATAAAAACTTCATATTTTACCCATATTTCTCACAATATTAAAAGTTATAACAAATTTCTTGTATTTAAAATAATGCATTTTTATTATATATTAAAATGCTCTTTGTGTCATAAATATTATTTGATCGCTTTCATACATTTAACAATCTATTTATAACATAATTATAATATTTAGCATCACAGTTACAGATATTTTATTATCAAATATATTTGATATATAAAATATATAAATACATTTTTTTTAATTATTAATTTTATTAATAATTTAATAAATATATTAATCGAAAAATTTTTTTATTATTTTTTTGAATTATTTAAAATAAATTATAAAAATAAAATTATTTAGAGAAATATTTTATTTTATATATGCTATTTAATTTTATTATGCATTTATATTAACATTATAAAATATAATAATATAAAATCAAATTAAATTTATATAAAAATATATATGCACTTTTAAAAATT